CGGGTTCTGGGTGTCTGATCCCACGAGCACCGCCCGGGACCCTTGTGAGGTGTCCTCATTCTCTTTTTCAAAAATGTTTTTTAGAATTTTATTTTACTTAAGTTGTCTATTTCTTATTCTCTCGGGCCAGCCAGGGTGTGTGTGTCAGCCCCGTGGCGGCGGGGAGCCTGTGTGTCCCGGCCCAGCCCTGCCGCACGTCTCCTGGGCACGCTCGGTTCCGGCTGGGGAGCCGGGTGTGGCCCAGGCTCGTTTCCAGCGGGGTTGGCTGTGAGGCTCTCAAACAGCAGATCGCACGTCCCCTCGTCTGTGTCAGAGTTCAGATGGTCCCAGTGAACCGGTTTTGGAGTTTTGGGGGAGTCAGGCACTGGTTGAGAGTCTAGCTTTCCCTGCCTGGAAAACTAGGTCTCCACGCTCAGAGCAGATTTGCTTGTGGGGGAAACTGACTGCATGTTTTTCTTTCTGTGACATTTTTCACAGTTCCTGATTTGTTCATGCCAGTTTCCGAGGCGTTCCGTCTCTGGTAGATCAATAAATTTCTGTTAAATGGCTTTAACCATATGTCAGTTGGCTTATAATACCGGGTGGCTGCTTGGTATTTTAATAGAAGGACCGAATTAGGTTGCGAACACAAGTTCTCCATGCAGCCATCACCGAAATGGAGACACACTCAGTCCTGTCAGATGTTTTGGAACATGTTCATTTTCATGTCCCAAGATCCTAGAAAACTTGAGTCACTTTCAGACTGAACCAACCAGATCCAGGAGGAGGGTTAAAAAAAAAAAGAACAAACCAAAACCAGATTGAATTGAGTTAAACGGAGAAGAGGATTCTTTTTGGAACTTTGAACTTTGGCTTTGTCAGTTATTCCAAGATTTCCTGAGTTAGTTAAAATAGTATTCCTTTTAAACTCTGAAGAAAGCCCCTGGGCCTCTCCACGCATAAACGTTCCAAAAATGAGAGACCCAGGAGGCTTTCTGAGAAACAGGATGGGCCCTTTCAGAATCAGGTTTGGTGAGACTCTTGGGGAAGCAGGGCCTGGGGGTTGCCCGGTGGTTCCTCTCTCTCTGATTTGAGTCAGAGGAAATCATCTGATAGGCGACTGCTTTCGGCATCGGCCCCGGTTCTGTGACGTCCGATGGAAACACACCAATATTTTTTCCCCTTTTGTGGTTTGGTTTCTTGCATCTCCCTTGGGAAGGACTAGCCACTCTGAGCTGGAGAAGCCCTACCTGTGTGACCATGAGTGGTTCATGTCCCCGGAGGTGCCAGGGTGGCCGTGCTCCTTTTGGGATGACCGGCGGGCCCCAGGGACTTGAGGGAGCGTGGCCCTGGCCAGCGTTCGCTCGGACTGAGGCTTGATCTGGGAGTTAGTGTCTGGTGCACACGTCCTGTGACGCTGTGTGCTGTGCTCGATGCTGACGTATGTATATGCAAGTTCTTGGAACCAACCAGTAATGTAGATGGTATTGTCCCCATTTTAGAGACGGGAAGACTGAGTGCAGAGAGGTGAGCTGCTTGTTCACAGTCACAGAAGAATTGAGGATTTGCACCAAGTCCATCTGGCCTCTGCCCCAGGCACGGGGCACTCTGTGTTTTGGGTGTCGGACGAGGCCTGGGGAGTTAGGGAGGGAACACGGGGTCTGGTGTTATGGGCAACCTGATGCATCGCCTGCCTAAGTCTGTGACCTCGGGCAGGCTGTGCTGCTGGCTGGGCCTCCAGTTTCCACGTCTGAAAAATGGGGTCACGGTGCCTACTTGCAGTGTTTTCAGGATGAAGGAGATATTATGGAAAGCACCCAGTGAGGTTCAGACGCAAAGACGTGCCACTGGTCAGGGCTCTTGCTCTAATGGCGGTCGGTACTGCCCACGGCTGCCAGGTGACCGTCGTCATCCTGGCCTTTGAAGTCATGGGAAGAGTAAGAGGGGAAAAGCGTGCTTGTTTACGGGGAACTTGGTGGTTTCTTGGCACTCGGTGGCCGCTTCTGCCTCGACTGACTTGCAGCTTCACGGCCGTGTGGACCCCAGGGAGGTCCCCAGGGTACTGAGCACGGTTCCTCGCGGTTTCTGTGGCGACAGGACCAGCTGGACTTTCCTTCTTGAGCCTGAAACCCAACCAGAGGATTTCCCAGGGGGCGGCCTTTCCTGCCGTAGGGGACACCTCTGATTGAGATGGCGAGTCAGCTGTGTTCCCGGCACAGTGCTGGGCTAGGACACGCCTTCCGTGGGCCCCAGAGCTGCCGAGAAGCAGGATTTCATAAAACGCTTTCAGAAGCTTTCCTGAGGTGTAGTTCGCATTGTGTTGTGTGCACATCACATGTGTAAGTTCACCTGCTGCTTGCGTGCAGGCCGGTGGCTTGCGGCGCCTCCCAGCAGTTGGGCAGCCGTCGCCACAGCCGACCGACGCGCGTCCGCAGCGTCCCTGCAAGGAGCCCGGTGCCCGTCGGTGCTCCCCCCCATGCCCCTCCCAGCCAGGCAGCCGCTGGCCTTGCTGTCCGTGTAGAATTGCATGTTCTGGGAATTTCCTGTGAGCAGAACCGTATAACGTGTGGCCCTTCATGGCTGGCTGTTCGCAGCTTAAATGTCTTCAGGGCTTGTCCGTGCTGTGGCGTGGGCTGGTACTGTGTTTCTTTCCCCGGCTGAGTGGTGGTCCGCCGCGCGGCTGATTCCCATCTCACTCGTGCCTTCATCAGTTGATGGACGTTAGGCTGTTTCTGCGCCTTGGCGCCTATGACTAAGGCTGCTGTGGACACTCATGTGTGCATCTTTGTGTGGGTGTTGGGTTTCACTTCTCGTGGGCACACACCTCGGAGTGGAGCCACTGGTCACGGGGTGGCCTGTAGCCTTCTGGGGAGCTGCTGGGCTGTCCCACAGCAGAGCACAAGGTTCCGATTGCTCCACGTCCTCACCAGCACTTGTTGCTGCCTGTCTGTCTGATTGTAGCCACCCCAGTGGCCGGGCATCTTTCCAGGTGCTCATTGGCCTTTTGCGTGTCTCCTTTGGAGAAAGGTCTGTTCGGATCCTTTGTCCATCTTTAAAATTAGGTCATTTATCTTTTTTTAAAAACTTAAGTTATAAGAATTCTTTGAGTATTTTTAAACCCAAGGCCCTCATCGGATACACGGTTTACAGGCGTCTTCTCCGTTTCTGTGGGTTGTCCTTACACGGTGTTGACGGTATCTTTCACAGCACAACAGGCTTTATTTTGATGAAGTCCCAGGTGGTCTGTTTTGTTCTCTTGTTGGTGCTTTTGGTGTCATAACTAAGAAGGTGTTTGCCTCACCCATGGCCGTGAAGATTTGTCCCTCAGTTTTCTGCAGTGTTGTAGTCTTGGCTCTTACGTTGAGGGCTGTTCTCCGTTTTGAGTGAGTTGTGTGTGGTGTGAGGAAGGGGTCTGGCATAACTCTTTTGTGTTTTGAAACCCAGTTGTCCATTGTAAAACACGCCTGGGTGCACGTGCGACGTGCCACCCCTGTGCTGGGCAGTGCTGGGAAATCCGAGCTCCCTGAGGAGCTGGTGTCGTATGT